TATGCACCATGTAATGATAATTATACAGAAGAGCAGAAAGATGAATTCTTTGACGATCTGTCTGATGAGATAGAGAAAGTTGAGGGAAGCAGCATACTATATGTAATGGGTGACTTCAACGTAGGGTAGGAAATAACAGAAGAGAATACGAACAGTTTTTAGGTCCACATGCATCTAAGAACAGTGCTAGAAATGGAAATGGTCAAAGAATATTGGATCTATGCAGCCAGCACAATCTTTTTATTACGAACACATTCTTTGACCATAGAGATTCACAACTTTACACTTGGTACAAATGGAATGATGTCTCCATCAAGAGCCAGATTGACTTTATACTTACCAGAGTTCAAGGAAGAAGGAGAATTCTTGATTCAAGAGCAATCCCTAATGGTCTATGTGACACTGACCATAAAATAGTTGTGTTAACAGCAAAACATCTTACATTAAAGAAACACAGAAAGAAATTAACCAAAAACAAGGATCTCTTCAAGATAGCAAATCTGAAACAGGAAGGAGTAAAAGAACAGTTACAACAGAAAGTAGAGACAGCATTCAAACAACTTCCACATGTAGTTGGCAATATTGAGGAAGAATGGAGTATATATAAAAACACTATGCTTAGTATTGCAGAAGAATTATGTGGAAAACGGAAGAGTGGAAACAGACGGGGAAACAACAAATATTCACCTTGGTGGTGCGAAGGAGTAAAAGAAGCAATTAAAAAGACTTATATAAACAGTGGATAAAATCAAAGAAAGAAGAAGATTATATAAACTATAGACTGCAAAGGAGAGAAACCAACAGGAGTGTCAAGAAAGCAAAACAAGCGTCCTGGGAACGTTTCGGTGAATCATTAGCAGAAAATGAGAAAACAGCCAGCAGAAAATTTTTCAAAGTAGTTAAAAATATGCTGAAAAGAGATGAGAGCTACAACCCCACTGAAATAATTAATGATAAGACAGGAAGGCCATTGATAGATCCACATGAGATAGCAGAAAGATGGAGGGAATACTTCAATGAGCTCTTTAATCCTCTAGGAGATCATCTGAAAAGAACAACCGAAGAGCACAGAGCAACAGTGTTAGAACCACACATATTAATGGATGAAATAGAAAAAGTCATTAAGCAGTCTCCCAAATATAAAGCACCGGGAGCTGATAGATTACTAACAGAAATGATTCAAACAGCAGGTGAAAGCAGCATCAGATGGCTTCACATAATATTTAATGCAGCATGGGTACAACAAACTGCCCCTATTGATTGGCAACATGCAATAGTTATACCATTGTGGAAGAACAAAGGAAGCAAACGAGAATGCGGTCAATACCGAGGCATCTCTCTTTTAAGCCATGTTGGCAAAATGTATGCCAAGATAACAGAAACAAGCCTGAGACCAGTGATAGAACCACAGCTGGCAGAAGAACAGATGGGATTTAGGAGAAATAGAAGCTACACAGATGCAATCTTCACACTTAAACAGTATATAGAAAAGAATATTGAATACAATAAGAACTTATTTGTGGCATTCGTAGACCAGGAGAAGGCATTTGACAGAGTCGACAGACAATTATTATGGAAAGTAATGGCAAGTTATGGAGTAAGCGAACACCTCATCGAAGTGTGCACAAGTTTATACAGGGATTGTAGAAGTCTAGTTAGAATAAATCAGGGAACATCTCATCCATTCACAGTAACATCTGGAGTAAGACAGGGGTATGTCTTATCACCACTGCTGTTTATCACCTACATCGACAGTATATGCAAGAATGCCAAGCCTATGAATGAAAATGTTAGTAAGATCAACGAATTACTCTTTGCAGATGACCAGGCCTTGATAGCAGATACAGCCATGAAATTGCAACAACATCTAACATCCATGAATGAAGAATGTAAAACAAATGATATGAGAATCAACACTGAAAAGACAAAAGTAATGTCAACAGGAAAAAAGAAGACAGATCTAAACATAGCAATAGAGTGCAAAGGCATTAAACAGGCATCTGAGTTTAAAAATCTGGGAACTACATTTACCGAAGATGGGAAATTGGATAAAGAAATTAACATTAGATGCAGTAAAGCAAACCAAGTATTGGGACAGCTAGCTCCCCTCTTACAGCATAAGACAATCCCAATCAGCACAAAGAGACATCTAATTCAAAGCATATTTATTCCAACTCTTCGCTACCAGTGCCAGACATGGTCACTCACAACAAACCATAAAAGACAATTAGTAACCACGGAAATGAGATGTCTGAGAAGGGCTGTAGGAGTGACCCTAAGAGAAAAGATCAGGAATGAGATCATAAGAGAACAAGTCGGCACAGAACCAATTCTGGATTACATACGAAGACAGCAAGTGAAATAAATGGTTTGCCCACTTAGAGAGAATGCCTTGTGACACCATACCATACAAAGCATACATGGAAAGAGAAGAAGGACGTAGAGCACAGGGTAGACAAAGAACAAGATGGAAGGATAACATCAGAGAAACTTTATAACAGCACGATGTGCCTATGGTCGAGGCGGCCAGAAGAGCTAAAAACAGAACCTTATATCTCCCTCGACACCCACAGCGAGGAAAAAGAAGAAGAAGAAGAAGAAGTGAAAGAAGAAGAAGAAGAAGAAGAAGAAGAAGAAGAAGAAGAAGAAGAAGAAGAAGAAGAAGAAGAAGAAGAGAAGAAGAAGAAGAAGAAGAAGAAGAAGAAAGAAGAAAGAAGAAGAAGAAGAAGAAGAAGAAGAAGAAGAAGAAGAAGAAGAAGAAGAAGAAGAAGAAGAAGAAGAAGAAGAAGAAGAAGAAGAAGAAAAAGAAGAAGAAGAGGAAGCATCTTCTCAAGCTCCTTGCTAACAGTAATTTGGTGGGTGATAATCCTGAAACCGCTGAGTCTGTAATGGTCTTTGTCTGGTTTTAGAAGTGGGATTAGGTAGCTTTCTACCCATTCCTGGGCTACTGAATATGTTCTGATGCTCTGGTTGAAATGAAAAGCTATTTCTTTCAAGTCTTCATCGCACATACTTTTCATATAGGCATACCTAACTCCACCTGACCCTGGCGCAGTGTCTTTTGTTTTTGCAATATGTATATGTTTTTACTCCATCCTAACGACATCCTAAAAACGGTTATCATTTATAGTGTTGGAAAGATTAACTCTAGCCGAATTTCTTAGCTCCCTATCATTATAATCAGTCTAGAATATAAATATATCTCTCTCAACAATTTAAAAAAAAAAAAAAAAAAAAAAAAGAAAAGCGTCACCCTTTGTGTGTTGTCACTGGCTTATTATTATCAGTGTATATAAGATTTGCTGTGACTGGCCGATATTTCCTTCGCTTTTTTTTTTTTTTTTTGCATCTGCTGCACACCGCTTAAACTCTTCTACTTTTTCTTTTCTATCTCTTTCTATCCTCTTTACATCCTCTTGTAAACTATGAGGTGTCTTTCACACTTTCTGTAATTGCTTAACTGCAGTTCGCTTTGCTCTCCATGCCTGTTATACTTTGGCCCACCTTGGAGGCTGTACAAAAGCAGAGGAGATGGTTCTTCTGCATACCTTCTGTTGGAGGCGTCCAGGAAGGGTACTGTCCCTCTCATACTTAAAAGTCCTGCGCGTTCTGACAGCTCTGATCTTTCTAGCTTTAGAAATCAAGACTGAGCATGGCAAATGGTCACTCAGATGATCCCCTAAGACCCTCCATTTTGTGTCCAGTACTGCTGACTGGGTAAGAAAAACCAATTCAATAGCCGTGTCTGCATCACCAGGTCTCACTGCCATTCTAGTTGGCCTACCGTCGTTTACACAGACTACGCCTGCATCCACCATAGCCACTGCTAAAGAATGTCCATCTCTATTTTCCCCAGTACTGTCCCATGTTCTGTTCCGCCCATTGAAATCCCCACAAATAAGAAGCCTATTACCCTTTGTGGTGGTAGAACGTTGAATAGGCCTCAGTTTAATTAATGGGAAGACAAGAAGCAATGGTGGTGTCAAAGAAAAGAATTATTCCTAAATGTGTAATAAAAGTCAATGGTGTAATTTAGGGACAAGTACAGACATGTAAGTATCTGGGCACACAGATAACATCAGATGGAAGATGCATTGCTGAGATAAGAAACAGAAAAGGACAGATAAAAACTGCATTTTATAAAACGAAGAATATCTTATGCAATATATCTTTGTCATTGAGAGTTAGAAAAAGAATTCCTGCTTGCTACAAACATCCAGTTGTAACATATGGCTGTGATACCTGGACAATCGGTAGGCAGGCCAAACAATTTTTTGATGCCTCAGAGATGTGGTTTTATAGCAGAATGCTGAAAATACATTGGACAGCCTAAAAGAGCAACCAAGAGGTTTTGAGAGAGGTGGAAGCCTAAAGACAACTGATCACAGACATTAGAAGGAGACAGTCATCATTTTTCGGCCATGTTATGAGAAGATGGGAAATGGAACATGCTGTGACCACTGGAAAGATCTGGTGAAGGAGGGATAGAGGAGGACAATTAGAGAAGATACTTGACAGTCTTTGTTGTATGACATGGAGGTGTGTCAGCACACGAAGTGATACATGCTGCAAGAGATCGCAGATTGTGGTGAGGCATGATCGCCCACGTCAGTCGGCAAGACACCTGATGATGATGATGATGAATACTCGGGATTTTCTCCAAATCTATGAGCCAGTCCCCATTGTTAATTTTTGACAAGAGATTCAACAGCAGCGTAAACATTTACTAGATTCCAGGTACTATGATTCCACTGGTCCAGGCCAAGAACCACATGGTTCTCCTCAACAAATGGGAAAGTAAAATGCGAAATCTAAGAACTGAGAATGTTCCGGCTGTTCAAGTTCCTGCCAGTGATACAAACATAAGGGAAACAACCTAGAGTTTCCATCTCTGTGTTCTTGCTCAAGAGTCATCACATTTGGGTAGAATGTTATCTTTCGAATCATCTGACATTTAACTGCAACATTCTGAAGAATAAAGCAACTAAAGCACTTCGCAAATGAAGAAAATGGCACTAAATTCACACTGCCCGGATAATAGACGGGAGGAAAACACAGTAGAGGTGAGTTTTACTAGTTTTAGCTTTTTTTTCCCTAATCAATCATTATCAACTTCAACTACTCTTACAACTAAAACTAAAGTTAGTTAAAATCAGTAAAATGTATACTTTCGTAACTGAGTGATGAGTGTGAGTGGTAGGATCTTTTCCTCATATTACCCCTACGGGACTGCTGGATGCGCTAGTTTAAATAGTCATTATGAAACATGTTTGCACAGAGGTTCAACTAGGTACATGAGATTTGCTCTGTTGGGTTGCTGTCCAAACTGAAGTTTTTTGATAAACAAAATCTCGGTGGTCTTAGTTTTACAGTCTGTTTAGCAGCCCGGCCAGAAAAGACTCCAGATTCCTTCTGTCTTATTATATTTAAAAGTAATTGGTAGCTCCTCCTTATTTTTGAGAATTGAGACATACTACTTATGACGTCACCTGTACATACCCATATGATGACGACACTGTTAGGACATTTGATTTTGACCCAGAGACATTGTTAGGACATTATCACACAGCACCACTACTTGGAACAAATTAAACAACTTTACATACCCATATGACAACAATGCAGTGTCATTTTTGATTTTGTGTGAATTTTTGACATTATTAATGATGCGAATAAAGTTTTATGTATTAAGATTAAGTGTTTACTTGTGAAAATAGCAGAGCTAGATAAAGATTAAAATATTCAATATAAGAATACTTGAATGAAGTATGTAAGTCCATTCTCTAGGCAAAGATATTAAAATGTTAATGGCAGATGAGATACCATCATAGACAAATTAAAGAGTAATCTGACAAAAGGAGGATTCCGCACTGCATCCCAGTAAAACGTAAAGTGGAAATGACTAAATGTTTGCATTGTCACAATTATTGTGTGGCAATAACTATTTTTTTTTTAAAGAATCCCCCAGCAACTATATATCATTACAATCAGGACAGTGTGGCCTAACTGTATATGTATTTCTTAAATATGTATCATGCAATGGGGGCCTGATTAACATATTAAAAATTGCTGCTGGCTCACTATTTTAAAGTAAACACTATAAATTTCAAGTTTTTTGCCACAAGCCTGGCGTGATGAGGGAGACATAGTAGTGGCACAAACATTCAAGTATCTAATATCTGATAAATATATAAATATCTAATTCATTGTATGTGGGTTTACCCTAAATGGCCCGATCTTTCTCTACACAGTAGCTAGCCAGCTGTCAAGAATGATTTGATTTGATTCAAGAATGACATTGGAGCACTCGGGGCGTTCCCATGAGCGCTCTGTTCCCATCTTCGGCAGCCAGTAAAGAGTTCCAATATTAATGGTGTCAGTAGCATTTTGATTAAATGTCCGTCTTGCCTTTTCTCTGAGCCTCGAGCATCTGCCAGAACCTCTTGTCGCTCCCCCTTGCATCATTCTCACCAGACTGGTGATCCATCTGCTCCTCCAAACTGTACATGCTCTCCCACAAGGTACTAACCATGTCTGCCTTATCATGTTTCAGTATTCCACCAAGTTGTGCAGAGCCAGCCAGTCTGTCTGACTGTTCATTTCCAGACAATACTCCTCACCCGCATTCTCCACAGTGAAGCTTGCCACTCTGCACAAAGCATGCCTGTCCTGATCTTCCTCAGCATGCTTTCTGAGTCAGTCACATGATGTGTGTGTGTGTGTGTGTGTGTGTGTGTCAAGTTCTCTAACCAGCAGAAAGCTGCAGTGACCGCCTCTACCTCCATACTTAAGCTGGATGTTGTGGTATCATATACTAGGCTCTCCTGCATCAAACGTTGACCATTAACTTTTGCTAAGAAGCCCCAAGCGCTTCTTTTGCCTCTTGACATTCAACCGTCTGTGTAAATGGTCAAATCTTCTGAGCGTGCATTATCTTGAATTAATTGCTGAATTTCCACCTCTGTGGCACCTGCTGGCCAGTCTCTGCATTCCTGGCTCAGCGTGATTATGTCTACACAAGTCTGACTGTTCAGGTGGCACTTTGACCCACTCTTCTAATGTTCTCAAGGATGCAAACCTGTCTGATTGTGTCTTCTGCCTGAGCCATGCATGACTTCCCTCTTATCACCTGCTGACCTAGAGCTTCATGCAAAGGGTGGTCTGTGTCTGCAGCTACCCTGAGATATGACTTCGCCTGCATCACCTTGTGCCTACATGCAACCGTCGGCAAACCAAGGATGTATCGCACACACACCACCAGGGTGTCTCTTGTGCAACCCAGAATGACCCGCACAGCTGTGTTCTGTATGCGCTCTAGTTTGTCCATCTGACTCTTTGAGACGGTAAGCAGTCCCAGGCCAAAATAAACTACTGACAGGATCAAGTGCTGATATAGTGTGAAAAGCACTCTCTACTCTATGTCAATTGCCGCCATAGTCTTGTCACAACACTCTCCACATCATCCTTAAAGGAGAGGCTCCTGCCAAATGTAATTCCCAGATACATCAGTTTGCTCTTTTTGTTGACGTTTTCCACCATCTATCTTGAGACATTAGCTTTAATGATAATGTTGTCTAGAGAACACCACAAAACAGACGCATTTTCCGGGTGGACGACAGCCCTTATTAATTACACCACTCAGTCACTTTGTCCACTGTCGCTTGTAGCTCCCAGGCTGTTTGTTCCCTCTCTTCCCCCTGCCTATATGTATAAATGAACATGAACCACTTAGTAATGATAAAAAACATATAATTTCAATTTATTTGGTGATTTGTAACATAATAATTATTGGTGTTTGTGGCTGCGGTAGCAACATTAAATCAGTCGACTACCCTACGACCATGGGGACAGGCTTTCGGTTGGTTCATCGGACAGGTGTCAGACTTAGACTCTGGCAGTCGACAGAGGGACATTGACAGACATTTGTCGGACACTGGCTTTTAAGGGATAAGACATTCTTTTCCACTAGGCACTCAGATCAGTCTACCGAGGCCCATCCCACACGATGTTCTGTTGCGTCGAGAGCCAGCTTGAAGCTCTTTCAGCAGCTTTTACCAGTTGTTTTAGTGACCGTTTATGACCAGTTGCTTTAGCACATTGTGCATGAAAGTGGATATAAGACCTCTTGCACCTACCTTACGGCAAAGATTTTTACTGCATACGCTGCGTCTCTCCTCAGACCGGCCACGAGCTCCCCGTACTTCTTGGGCTTGTACATGTGATTTTCTTCTATCCGCGACTCGTACAGCATGGTCAGCTCAATCAGGATGAGCTGGCGTTTTTCCGCAGAGTGTATCTTCCCTGGCCTAGGGGCTTTTCTGCAGGCGGACAATACATGCTTGAGTGTCTGCTCAGCTCTGCACAGTGGGCATGTTGGGTGATTAGTTACATGCTATTTCACCATTTTGACTCCAGATGGTAACATATTGTACGCAGATCTTATGATACAGCTCAGCCGCAGCGAGGCTATTCACCAGATCTCACCCCATGTGAGTATTTGTGGCAAGGCACTCTCAAGGCCGATCCACTGGCGTTGCTGTGAGTACTGTGCTGCTTACAGTAGATTTTGACCCGGAGACATTGTTAGGACATCATCACACAGCACCACTACTTGGGACAAATTAAACAACTTTACAAAAAAATTAATGTCTATAGAAATAACTTTATATAACACTTAAATTAACTGTAACTTGCATTTAGCTTACCTTGTAGGTAGAATGTCACTAGAACTATCTGACACTGAAGAAAATTCCCTTTCACTAATATTTATTATTCTAGTGCCAGCTGACTGTCAGTGAATGCTTGTCTCATGTCATATATAATAAAAATATCTCTCGTCAAAGCTTGCCTGTACACATTTGAGACAAATCAGCTTCACTACTTTCTTTATTTACAATCATATTAATGCATCAACACATCACACGCAAATTACTTCAATCTGAGACTTCTAAAGCTGTAAGTTGTGTTGATGTGCATGGTCCTATTCGGCGACCATATCTGTTTCATACACTTGGTAACTCTGTAAAGCTCACAGAAAAACTGTATCTTTGCTTGTAACCATGTTTCCAAATAAATGAGTGTATCCCATGTGTTTTATTGAAACACAGCTTATAGAAAGAACAATCACATTTGGGGATTGGTATTTTCACACTGCCCAGTGGTTAAGAAAACAAAGGAGACATGTCAATTGTACGGTGATATTCTGTGCATAGATTATTCCGTTGAAATGTCATCCCAGGTCCATGCCCTACTAAGTCCAAGTAACTGATTACTCTAGGGGGTAACAAATGTCAAATCCAATGACAGGCAGAAAAACGTCACCAACAAGGTCAACTGTTGAAACTTCTACATTTGAGAACACGTCGTTGACAGGCAATATCAATACGTTTATTCAACAATTCTCCACAGATTTAATGTGTGTCCATGAAATGAATATGTTACAATCACTGTACTCAACGACGGTAGGATAATTCCTCTCCTCCAACATGGAGCTCAGAAACTTTGCTCTCCCGCAAACTACGGCATCAGGACGACGGTAGGATAATTCCTTTCCTCCAACATGGAGCTCAGAGACTTTGCTCTCCCGCAAACTGCGGCATCAGGACATATCAATACAAGCATCTGCCCGTCATACCTTTTTTTGTAACTGTCTTCTGTCCAATTCATGACGTTGTGTCTCTAGACATATCTCATGTCCATTAGCAGTTGTCAATAGTGTAAATCTTCGCACTGCACACAACATAAATGATGTATTATGCATTGAATAGGACTGTCGCATAGTCTTTTAAGAATGCATCATGCATTCCTTGGGATCCAATAACTAAAAAGTGAAATTGTTAGCTTGGTTTGACCGTAACAGTAATATATACAGATAATCACACTGCTACTGTTATTGAGGCAAAATCAATCAAACAACAATAATGACAATTACCGAGGTGTATAGTTACAGGCGGATCTGGCCGGCGCTCAACACTCAGGGAAAGGGCGAGACGGAGATACATTCAGACAAATACTGGTGCCATCGGAATTGAAACTCTTTGCTTGCTACTGAAGATGGGTACAG